GAAAATGTGCACTGAAAAGAAACCCTTGGAGGGACAAAATGGCTTCACATCTGAATAGGAATTGTTTATTTCTGAGGCTTTATTCTTAACTATCTTTTCCCTAAGTAATACCAGCTAATATAATGTTATGGCAAGGCGCAAATATTAATTTATGGTAAGGAAGTTATTCATACTTCTTTAAATGGTCCAAAACAGTGGTAGGTAGATGGTAGAGGTCAATGTGTTTTCCATTAGTCGGTATATCCAGGCAAAGACAAGAAAAAATTACTGCAGTTATCAACTAATTTCCTGCATAAATGAGATAGGATTTCCTTTCACTCTAGAATAATTTAGTGACTTTTATCAACACTTGTTTATCCTGTGTGTGTGTGTGTGTGTGTGTGTGTGTGTGTGTGTGTGTGTGTATTTTGTAGTTTGAATCTAACCTAAATAGTAACAATCTCTCACATACAACAGTACTTTGATCTGGAATGTGTCTCAACAACAACACTGTTAAACATGAATGTGATTCAGAATAAATGGGAGCTAGAGTAAGTCATCAGCTGCAACATTCCTCTACAGATTGTCCCCTTCATAGGGTTCATAGTGGGTTGCTGAGCAACCATTGGATATAACATATTTGAAATTCATTTGCAATGTATCCCTGGAAAAAAGTAATCTTTGGATTTGTTTCTCCTCACAAGAATATTAATTTGGGGCATCTGTGAGTTGAGTAACCTAGTTCATACAGTTATTCAATAAATGTATGCCCATGATCTCTGGTATAAAGATTATTTGAAATACCTTTAGTAGATATTCCAAATAATATGCTTATAACATAGCAATACAAGTTTATTTTTAATTTGGAAACAACAAAATAAACTTATAATTTAATCCTAGAATGTTAAAACAATTGCAGTCCAACTATTTCATTTGAAGAGAAATAGTGTTGATTACATCAGATGATTTACTGCTAGAGCTGGGGCCAAAACATCTTGTTTTCTATCGCCCCCGTTCCAAAGTTGATACTTCCTTTTCTACATAGCTATGTATCTCACATAAAAGTTCATTGATGGTGAATGGTAAGAATGTAAAGAGTCTACTGCTCTTCATGAGGAGCTATGCCAGTTTATGGCTGGTGGATAGGGGAGATTGCTCTTCAGCTTCAAGACTTCAGACTTGAATTGATTGTTCATTTTCCAGTGGATGGCCTGAGCACACAGCAGTATTTAATAGACTCAGCATACGAAGTTGGGGGGGAGGGAATGGGGGGTTATGGGGAAAGGTAGAGGGAATCGGGGGGCATGGGCTTGATCAAAACATATGCATGTATGAAATTCTCAATTTTTAATTTAAAAAGTATTAGTACAGTGATTACATTTTCTACTTTTGGCATTTTGCTTATCTGTTCTTTGCTTTATGCAAACATAAGCCTGTGTACAAACTGGAACTTTTAAAAATAAGTTAGTTTTAAAGTATTTGCTATTTCAATGAAACGCAAAGTCACGTAGCACTTCTTGGTTAATTTTGAACTAATATGTTCTACAAATTAGAAGTGGTAGTGTTCTCAGTAATTAATGTGCTCAGTAAAATAGGTAACATTTATGCCTCTGTCGGTGCTGGGAACCAAACCCTGGTCCTCTGGTTCCCTGCAAACCTTTCTTAGAGATTTATTATTTTTAATGATATGTATGGGTGGGTGTGTTTGTAAGCATGGGAGAGCTGGTGCCTGCAGAGGACAGCCGTGTCAGATCACCTGGAGCTGGGATTGGAGGTGATTGTGCACTGCCACTGTGGATGCTGGGAAGAGAACTCGAGTGCCTGCTCTCAACTGCTGAGTCGTCTCTCCAGCCCCAAACTAAGTATTTTAAGTTAAGATTAAATAAAAGGAAAACTCACTTTTGTAGTCGTATCTGAATTGAGAAAATAAGATTTCTATATTTGGGGGGGTTGGATCTTTAGTTTCTTCTTAACTAATAACAGTCGCTTACAAAGGCTTAAGACTTATCCAGAAAGTGAATTTTATTGGGAAAAAGATCAATTATGACTTTTCTTATCGGTGTAGTTTAGCTATACAAGTGTTTAGTTTGTTATAGAAAGACTTCAATGTGCGGATTCTGTAATAACAAACGTTTCCCAAGAGGCTCCATTCTTACAATATTAATAGTCCTCCTTGCATGCACACCAGATTGAATATCTTTTTGTAGAGTGTTGCTCCCCCAAAGCAAACTGATTGTAGCAAAGCTTTAATGTTGTTCTTTAGGAAGGTCTTGTTTTCCCTCTAATTGAGAGCTCATTGTGCCTTACTCTGGCTATTATCGGAGAACTGTGGAAACAACAGTGCTCTATAAAGGACTGAAAATCGGAGGTTCTGAACATTGGACTGTTAGATTCTGTTAATGGGAATTATTCATAGGAAGGACTAGCCCCGTCCTGTGATGTTCCCCCTCTCTTCTGGGAGCAGAAGGTGCTAAACTACCCTTATGAGGTCCCTGGAGTTCTTGCTGCCTTTCTGACTTAGTCTGTGATTACTTGTTTTCTGGAACAAGTCTATCCAGCCTTTCTTGGGAATGCTACAAGGCTGCCCTGCCAGAAGTACAAGAAACGAACACAGATTTCTAGTGCATCCTTCAGAATAAAAAGAGAGTTGATTTAATTTGTGGAGCTTTAGATATGTTTCACTTAAGACAGAAGACAAGTCAACTTAGAAACAGGAAATTTAGAAAACTAAATATTTGAGTAACACGAAGTCAGAGGGCAACAGCTTCTTCTATCACCTTGAGAATAATAACCAGGAAGAAAGAAACTGAACAAGCGTTTGTGTTAAGACAGAACTCCTTGACATGGTTTCCTGGGTCTTAGGCAGTTGTGAGGAAGGCTTCATTCACAACACTTGAGCTGTAGAGGGATTGAAATGTGAAGTTTTCGTTAGGTTGCCCTGGGGCCTGTGTCCTGGGCTTTCTGAGCGCCGTATGAATTATTTTGCCTCAGGATTCAGTCCATCAGACTAAGTGGTCTTGTGACATGTTCATTCATCCCGTCTCTCATCCTAGAAGAGGCTGCCTTCTGGAAATGAGGATTGGAATCTGTCCTAGGAAAACACTCAGCGAAAATTTTCGATCTCAGGTTAAGACACTTCAACTGCTGAGCTCACTTTTCTTCTTTTTTTTTAAATTTTTAAATTTTTTTCATGTATTTTACATAGTGACCACAGTTCCCCCTCCCTCTCCTCCCATTCTCTCCGCTCACCTCCCATTTTACCCGCCCCCATCCACCCCTCCGTCTCCATTCGGAAAGGGTAAGGCCTCCCAGGAAGTTAACAAAGCACTGCACTTCAAGTCTGAGGCAGGACCAAGCTCCTCCCCCTGCATCAAGTCCCCAGATCACTTTTTTAATAGGCAGCCTGTCCCTAACAAATGTCTTTACACCAACAGATAGAAAAGAAAATCCCAGGCAGAAATATAAACTAAAATGAAGGGTCTGCCCCAGAATTTAGAAGGTATTGCATCAAAACATCTTTGTGATTTTTAAATTTTCCAAATCTTGCAGCCTTTTTATTAAGAAAACCAGATACTGAAGGCTCCTTTCCCATTACTTGGAAACACATGTCAGCATAATCTATCAGGACTCCATCGGGAGATGTTCAGTCAACACCAGCTAAGAATTTTATGTCTGGTAGAATGGGTTTGATATTTCCATGATTCTGCATTTGGTATTCATCAGAAACATGAGTTCATTCATCTGGGACTTGGCAAGCCAAGAAAAAGAGATTTATGTATTTTTAAAAATTTTATTCTTCCGAACATAGCTTGAAACAGTTCTCAAGTTTGATTTTTATGATTAAAAGAAACATTTTAGGTAAAAAAGTAGTTTTAACTTACAAAGTAAAGTTAGGAGAATAGAGGTTTACATCGACAGGGTAGACATGGAAGCAGCAAAGACAAAGTAAGTAGCGCAACTCTAGAAGCTGGACCAGTTGTTCTATGGTGTCTGAATGCCGCGGTCGCCTTGCACAGCGCTGCAGAAAAAGCTCACCTGCAAATAACCTGTGCGGGCTAAGAGTGGCAAGATTCCTAAAGAGGCCAACAGGCTCGGCTCTCTACAGCTCCAAAGCCAAGGAAAGAAAGTGGCGTGGCCTTCCCGGCTGCAAGCCTCGGCCACCTGTTTGCGTCCGACCCCTAGGGGTCGTTTCCGCTGCCTGAGACCTATGTTTTCCACCAATGCCCACGGAGGTTCGCGTCTCCGATCCAGTCGGCCTGCGTGGTCCCACGGTCTCCGCCAGGACTGGCCCGGCGGTCGGCCACGTGCATCCCCCTGCGTCCGCGCTGGTGCCCTCTGTCCCTCGCCGCCACCGGAGCTCGTTTTCCCGGTGCGCCTGCCGCCTGGCAGCTCCCGGTGGCTGCACAACCCGGATTCGGAGTTTAAGATTTCCCGCCTTGCACGCTCACGCCACGCTCCCCGACTTAATTTTTTTTTCTTTCCTCTTTTAACTTTCTCCCCAGCTGCGCTGTTGGTGCTAAGCGTTCGCCGCGGCCCTCTCCGCCATCAATCCAGGTTGCATCTGGCGAGGAACCCGCGAACAGCTCGCGGCGGCACCGGGGGTGCTCGCCCACGGGAGAGCTGCGGGGCGCGGCGCGGGGCGGGGCGGGGCTCGGGGCGGCGGCGCCCAGGGCGGGGAGGAGCAGCTTCCCGCACGGCGGAGCCCGGGCTCGGCAGCCCAGCCGCTCCCAGCGTCGGGGCGGCGGGCGAGCGGCCCAGGCGATGGCAGGCGGGCGGCGCGCGCTGGGGTACCGGCGCGGGGCGCGGGGGCGGGGGCCGGCTCGGGGAGCCCCGGGGTGCCGGACGATCTGAGGCGATCGTGGCACCCGGGAGCCGGGCCCCGGGCAGCGCCGCCGCCGGGGGCGTCGCCGGCCTCGGCCCCTTTGTTCTCTCGCGCGCCCCCTCGCCGCCCACTCCCCTGCTGTCGCGCGGCGGCGGCGGCGGCGGCGGCGGCGGCTCCTCCCGCCCGAGGCAGTCGAGCTCCGCGCCGGGGGCGGGAGGGGGCGGGGAGCGCGCCAGCCGCGGAGAGTGGGGGGCGATGGCGAAGCTCAGGGTGGCTTACGAGTACACGGAAGCCGAAGACAAGAGCATCCGGCTTGGCTTGTTCCTCATCATCTCCGGCGTCGTGTCGCTCTTCATCTTCGGCTTCTGCTGGCTCAGCCCCGCCTTGCAGGATCTGCAAGCCACGGCGGCCAACTGCACGGTGCTGTCGGTGCAGCAGATCGGCGAGGTGTTCGAGTGCACCTTCACCTGTGGCACCGACTGCAGGGGCACCTCGCAGTACCCCTGCGTCCAGGTATACGTGAACAACTCCGAGTCCAACTCCAGGGCGCTGCTACACAGCGACCAGCACCAGCTCCTGACCAACCCCAAGGTAAGGACTTGGGAGCTCCCGCCTAACGATGCAGGTTCGAGGCCGCCGTCCTGGTTAGACCCCAGGGGAAGATCCGGAATGTACTAATCTCTCTAGAAGGAGATAGGAGGCACCGGGTGCATGCACACATCTGTGGAGCTGCAGGGCTCCAGTCCTCAGGGTGTGTTTGCCCGCAGGGCGGTGGTACCCAGAGTCTCTCTGCAAACACTGATCTTTAGCTGGTCTCAGGTTTTTGAACTCCCTTCAATCCCAGGTGCAGCACCCACAGGACGGGTTTGCCTAAACTCAGGGGGTAAAGAAAGTTAACTTTTTTTTTTTTTTAACGTAGCCATGGGTTAGCGGGGACCCAGCTACTCCAGCATAAGGCCAACCAGCGCCTGAGCTTCAACTGACCTCAAGAACTCCCAATGACATGACATTTGAGAGGTTAAAGGGATCTCATCGCTCCTGGAAAATCCTTAGGCTTTTGCCTTTTAGTTCTAAACAGAGGTTTTTAACTTGAGGTCTAAAGATGGACTTTTGGGGGGTAGGAGTGGGGTTGGAAATCAACAGCAATCAGGAATCCAGCGAGAAATTAGGTTGAGTTTGTTTGTTCAGTGGGGGGCTTCGAGTGGTCCTCGCCACTCTCTGGGTGTTTGGGAACAATCTGGAGCAGTTGGAGAACAGTAAAAGTTACCAGAAATAGAAAGCCCTCAGTGAAATATACCAAGCAGCCCTTTCCTCACAACTTCTCTTGTTGTCACAGGCAGGGGGAAAAAAATGAAAAAAGGAGGAAAAAAAATAGATAAAACCTGGTTAGGACTTGCGAGCTTCTGGAGAGCAGAAAGGGAGACTCAGAAAAGTTCCCGGGGAGGGGGGGGCACTTTTAAAAAGCAGTGTCCTCTGTCCGTGAACTAATTGAGCTTTGTAGCGCGCCTGCTTCTGCAGGAGGGTAGGGTACTTTGATGCCTTTGGGCTTCTCTGACGCCAACTAAAGGTTTTGTGTGTGTGTGTGTGTGTGTGTGTGTGTGTGTGTGTGTGTGTGTGTGTGTTTATTTAAGGCACTGACTCTTTATTAGGTAAGGGCTACGCTCGAAGACGAGCAGGAAATCATGTTAAAAAAAATAGATCCTGTGCACCCAGGAACACGTTCTGTTAAATGTGACAAGATAAATTAATCTGAAACAGAATTAAGATTTCAAAGTAGCCCACCATTGCTCTGCGGAAAAACTCAAGAGTAACTCATTAATTTGGAAAGTTAGAAGTAATTACTCTTTAAAAAATATGATTGACTCCTCGTTGGAAGAGTCTCCTGGTAATGCATGAAGATTCATTTGCTTTAAATCTGAAGATAATACAGGAACAATTAATGTAGAAATAAACATTTCTAATACAGAATCTAATGTCCGGACAAGCTCCTGAACAAGTGGTATGGCCTCAGAGACAGATGTGAGTTAATCTGCTTAGTGCTTAGTAATCTAAAAAGAACTCTTGTGGTTTTAAAAAAAACTTTTTTTAAAAAAATCGAATTAAATAAAAATACCTAAGAAAGGTGTCAAGAAGTAATTTAATGATTTATAAGATACTCTGTAGTTTGTCATTTAGGAGTGGGCATAGTTGTTGAAACACCACTAATTATTCTTGAGATAGATTATTATTGGTAGCGTTAATCAATGAGTTATACATACATATATACCTACATATTAATCGATGGTTAATATCTAATTTTGACATAGACTAATTAGAATTTACCACAGAAGACAACTTCTCAATTCCCAGGCAGGAACTGGCAGCAGAAATACATTGGAATCATTAGGACATTAATTCTCAATTCACTTGGAAGTAATTACAATGTTTTATGTAATACTAAAGTTCTCTCTCTGTCTCTCTACTTGTAAATAATCTCATTTTTCCTTCAGTGCCAGTTAAGAACTTGGCAATAATTGCTTTGAAGAGGTACCAAACAAAATCATAAGGAAGACTATTCACAAAATTGTCAGAACAAGAAAAAACGACATACTTTATGGTTCAGAAAGTGATGAATGACCTCTCCATCATTTTAGGCAATGTTTCCTCTGCCAAATATACATCTTTGTCCAAATTATGATGTATTGTACTATTTATAAAACAAACATCACTTTTTTGTCAATTAAGTGTTCAATTTGGAAATTTTTGTAAGCATTGGGTAATGGAAAATTCAGTGTAACCAAAATATCATGTCAGAGTCAGGTGCATGATGAGATTTTGTTTCTATGGTCTCCTTGCAACTAGACAGTCCCCATTGCCTGTTCTCATTGCATATTGGCTACATAGAGCTGTGTCCTACCTACCTTTTAATCTTCCAACCTATTCCTTTAGTGTCCCATCCACTTCCCACATTCTCTACAAAGCCAACCATCACAAGAAACTGTTAGGACGCCCTGTCTCATGTAAATAGAGCAAGTACGTTTTCCTGGAGTCTCCTGAAAGTATTACAGCAAAGGACGGGGAGGGGACAGATATTACAGGTATATAACTTGTTGAGCTGTGGACCTCTGAGGAAATGCTGACCTTCCACTAACAGTTCTTTAGAGTGTCTTTATTTGTGCTTTTCATCAGATCCTTATTTTTCGAGGGAATTACCGTGTCTAGTCATGTAGTATTCAAGTCGGCTAAGGACTTGGTTAGGGACATGACCCACTATGTGGCTTAACCATAGCGCATCACTCCAGTTTTGGAGTTAGCTTCCCCTGGCTGCTGCTCCCAACCTTGCGCTGGCTCCTTGTGACTCACAGGTGTGTGTGCACGAAGCCCTCTGGTCCTCAGCCTGGGAACTTTAGAAATAAATTCTTGTGCTTGGGTCCAGGTTTCAGGAGCATGGATTCGGTGTTGGATGGGGCCTGAGTATTGTAGCTTCCAGAGTTGTGCAAGTGATGGTAATATGGATCCAAGAGATGAAAATCGTGTCTTGGGAAATGCACTCATCTGCTCTGCAGGAAAAGCACTGGACCTCAAAATGAATTCACTGTGATTCATGTTCGTGTTTTCAACATAAAAGATGTGGATTATCTATTTTGGACGGCAAAGAAAAGATGAGTTTAGGATTTACCCTCTGCTGTGTGGCATGAGAGTGGGTGATTGGAGACATGCTCTGTGTTTAAGTTTGTTTTGAAGGTCCCTCCCCTGCCTCCTTTAATAATAAAAAATGCTAAAAGCAAAGAAGTGAAGAGCAGAAAACCTTAACAGGGATGGAGAAAGGCTTTTGGCTTGAAGAGCATCCAGGAGATCAGAAGCACAGATCAAGGCACTGTGGTTGCCAGTCTCCTTAGCAAGGACCTTCATACCCACACTCGTGTGCCCCGTCTCTGCACATGGGAGGGTAGCACGGCTCCTGAGGGAGTTCCTGGGCATTGGCCTGTGTGTTCAGCTTGATGCGCTTATACTCTAAGGTGAAATCTGGCAGACCAGAGCTGCATAAAGACAAGAAAAGTGGCGTTGTGCCAATACCTGTAGTCTTTATTTGTCCAAAAAGAAATGACTTTCTTTGGATTTTTTACTTTGATGATATTGTTAAATAATATATTAATTATATGTAATTATATATCGGTAAATGACAGATACATCTAGAGAAAGAGAGACATAGAAAGAAAGAAGGAAAGATGGATGGATGATAAATAAATTGATAGACTGATTGATTCAATTGAACTTCTGGTCCCTCAAAATCTATTGTGGCCAAGGACAGTGCAAAAAAAAACCCTTCAAAATATAAAGATAAGCATTGTTCATTAACAGTTAGTCTGTGCTGTGTATACCGCCCAGTTCCAGACCAGAACAGAGATCAAAGTTCCTGCATTCACAGAACTTGCATTTTGGTGCAGGAAACAGGCGTAAGTAAATTTATAATGGAATTTCATGTAGTGATAGATTTTTAAAGGCTCTGACGGGACGAGAACATGGCTAGTGACAGAAATGACATGGAACTGGCCTTGTTATGTACAAGATGCTCATAGCAAATGTGTCTGATGACATGCCCATTGCAGAGGCCAGAAGCTTTCCAGGGTCCCCAGAGACTAGAAGGACAGAGAGAAACAAGGCCTACAGCTCTTTGGAGAAAGACATTTATTTCCACATGTGGAACAGACAGCAGATGCAGAGACCCTGGGACAAGTGGCCACTGGGTCTGTTTGATGAACAGTGGGTCCATCAATGGGTGGGACTGGGCTGCAGAGAGCCGGACACTGAGCAGAGGGAGGTGGTATGGAGTCCTGGAGAGCAAGAGCTTTGGTTTGTTATACACATGGTGGTAAAGTCATTACTTGACACTGAGCAAAGCTGGATATAATCTAATGACTTTTAAAGATCTGACCCATTCATCCCGCTGCTAGAAATAATGTGTGCATGTGCCTGCATGTGTGCACATGCACACACGTGCACACGCACGCTCACTTGTGCAGAGTGAAGCCAGTTTGGACACAGGGAGCTAGAGGAGCAAGAATGGGCAGGAGAGACTGGTGGCCTGGGTCAGTGGGCACCTGTGGTAAGATTTGTTGTTGAACTGAAAATGACTAATGAAGGCAGGACGTTGAAGATGGCCTCAAAGTGTTGGGCAAGCAGAGCTGGACCAATGGGGGGCCTTTGCCAAAGAGGGAGACTTCAGATAGGTGGGTGTAGGTGGGAATGAAGGGCTCCATTTCACACGTGCCTAACAGGCGAACAAACGAAAGAGGATCTTTGAGTTTCTGCCCCCAAGATGATGGCCTCAGACAATGGTTATCAACCTTCTTCATAATGCTGCGACCCTTTAATACAGTTCCTCAAGTTGTGGTGATTCCAAGTCATAATTTTGCTACTGTTAGGCTAATATGTTATGTAGATCATAGTGTAAGTATGCAATATTTTGCCTCAGAGGGGTTGAGACCCACAGGTTGAGAACCAGTGGCCTAGCAGAAGACCCATAGAACCATCAAGAAAGGCAAAATGTCAAGTTCTGTAGGGAGGTACAGATAGATGAGAGGGACATTCGCAGGGGAAAGTTCGGTAGA